GTTCAGGGTGGCATTTCATACTCAGTGCTAAAATGTTGATATGTCATTAATGAGAAAAGATAAATGGATTTATGACCTAACAAGGAGGGATTCAAAGACATATAATTAAGAATACTTCTTTGAGTATGTGTTGCGATTAAAAAAACTCTTATGTCTTTAAGATCAAGTTTCTTCATTTCTTCATCATTTTTCTAATTCTCCACGTCTATGTGTAGCTAAGTTCACCCTTGTTAGGATTTGAGGTAACCATACATATTCTCATGTTAACTTTCTAAGTTATTAATCCTAGTTATTATTTAGTATTATTGTTCTCTTCTTTACTTAGTGTTTGTTATGGTTTGATTTTCCCTAACTTGATTTTTTGGGTTTAAAGTGATTGGAAAATACTTGTGAACCTTCGAACTAAGAGAAACTCATGGTGTTTACCACAAGGAATAGAGTAAATGTTATTAGTCATTTATACACTCTTGTTCTTAAAGCTAAGTTATGGGTTAAGTCATTTAAGGAATTGATAACTTAGTGAACAAGCTTAGACAATAACTTGTAAGGAATTAAGATTTATATTTGTGAGTTGAATGATAATTTATGAATATATAATTGGATTAAAGCTTGTTTGTAAGCATGATAAAATGATTTGGTGAAGTTAAATCTCAACATATTTTATTATTGTGTTAAAATCCTTTTTTAAATTCCAAGTGTTTGTAAAAATACCAAAAAGATTTCTCAATATTTATCTTTGTTTGTGCATTTTCTTTATTTCTACAATCAATCAAAATTTCTAATTTGAGTAGTTTAGTTTAGTATAACTATTGATTTGTGTCAAGTATTGCATAAGTCCCTTACAAGATGATACACATACTCATTATTTAACTACTTGTACAAATTGGTACACTTGCCTTGAAGATAACAAATTTTTGGTGCCATTGCCAAGGATTTGCGTCTCAATACTTAGACAATTTAGCTCTGATTACTAATCTAGACTTTGATTTTTTTTTATTCTTTTGCTTTCAATTTTTTTATTTTTAATTATTTACCTCTCTATTGTTGACTTGTTTATTATAGTATTTTAATTCATGTGTATGTGAGGTACTTGATTGATGCGTACCAGATCAAATGAAATGTGATTTTTGTAGTACTAGGAAGTGACTCTTAGGTCGTCTCTCTCAAGGAGCAACATGCCAAGCAAAGGTTCTCGTAGTACAAACAAACACACAAATGAGGGGGTTCAGATTCAAAATAAATCACAAAGCATAAACAGTAAAGCAATGGAACAGTACACATCAACTCTCCAACTCAGTTGTAGCACCCATATCATTGGTTCAAAATATTACCCTACTTGTCTAAACCTCAGTGCAAGTCTGAGTAACCACTAAGCGTCATTACCATTGTTGAACACATACATACAAGTGAAGCATTAACATTCATCTCTATTCACGGGATTATACAAACCGTGAGTAAAGAAAACCAATTAAGTTGAAAACGATACCATTAAGCATGGAAACAAACTTGTGACCAACTGTAATAGATTAATAAGGATTAGAATGCAAGGACACATTAAAATGGATAAAAGAAGTGTAACACCTCGAATTTTCTACTAATACAATATTAATTATTATTTATTTTTATATTTATGAAGATTATTTTTTTATAGTTATTTTAGTTAATTAAAGGGGTTTTATAGAATATATTGTAAATGTTTGGAATAATTTAAATTATTTATGAAAATTTTATATAAAATACTATTTTTTTATGCCAGAACGGGCTTTTCCAAAAAGTAGAACGGGCCGTTCCAAACGATGAAAGTAAACTATTTTTGAAGGACTAGAACGGGCCGTTCCAAATGGTGGAATGGGCCGTTTTAAATGAGTAAAGAAGCCAATTTTGGCTATTCCAGAACAGGTTGTTCCCAAAGTGAAACAGGCCGTTTCAAGATTCTAAAAATGCCTAAAAACCTTAGTTGGAAACGAGCCGTTCCAATTATCATCAATATGTGTTAAAATGAACCCTAGAACGGGTTGTTCTAATTTTGAGAACGGGTCGTTCTAATTTTTTAAAACGGATAGTTCTGATTTTAGAACGGGCCGTTCCAGTTGTAAATTTTACATATAACGCATGGCTCCAGAATAGGCAGTTCCGAATTTAGAACGGGCCATTCTGGGTACCCCTGAATGCCTACAAATAGGAGTCATGGGGTGAAAAAAAAATTATAACTGAGAAGGTAAAATCTTAGAGAGAGAAAGAGAGAGAGAGAGAGAGAAAGAGAAAGAAAGAGAGAGAAAGAAATAGGGAATCCAGAGAAGGAGATTAGCAAGGTTCTGCTCTAGTTTCAGCTTCGGCTTATCGAGGTAAGGGGAGAGTGAGAAACCTCGCTCGAGGGTGTGAGAGTAATTGTTGGATAGTCTGATTGTCGGATTGGCCCCCAATCCCTTGTTTGTTGCATGCTTCTAGGAACATACAAAGTATTAATGTGTTCTGTTTTATTTTCTATTTGCTCTACTTTATTCCTTGTTGGAAGTAGTAATTGAATATGTAATTAATGTTAAAAATAAATAAGTTTTAATATGAATAAGAATGCTCTCTGTGGATTCCTGTGCGTACCTTTTGAGGAATAATTATAACATGACTATGTGAAATATGCACAAATGACATGAGACATAAGAATGGACTATTGAGACAAGCTATGATTATGAGAATATGAAAAATGATGACATGATGTACTAAATGAAATTCTGTAATAAGTCAAATGTTGAGTCAATGAAATAAGGAATGTATGACATGCATTATATACATATATAACTCCAGGTGTGTTGTTGAGGCCTCATACCAGTGATGTAACCAGCTAACAAGGTGTACCTTAGGGTCACCAGTGATGTAAGGTGTACCTTAGGGTCACCAGTGATGTAACCAGGTGTACCTTAGGGTCACTAGTGATGTAATCAGGTGTACCTTAGGGTCACCAGTGATGTAACAAGCTAACAAGGTGTACCTTAGGGTCACCAGTGATGTAACCAGGTGTACCTTAGGGTCACCAGTGATGAAATGTAAAACTTCCGTATGGCGCCACATGCATGCATTTATGAGTCGAGTCCATGACATCATAGCATGATAAATGAGTGTACATGTGATACTGATCATGTGTGGGTATTGTTTATATGTGATTAGTGTTATGACTTATGATTGTTGTGTGTGCTATCTAACCTTTATTTCTGCACTTGAAACTAAGTAAGATGTTTCTCACTCCCTTGTTGTTCTTGTATATGTTTAAATTATGTTGCAGGTGATCATCATCATGAGGATGTTGGTGATGAGGCTTAAGGCTTCAGTTGGGCATGCTCTGATAGGATGTGACATCGGGTATAGTTAGGCTTAGTTTGGGATATTATTATTTTAAAAGCCTTAGTTTTCTTTTCTTTTGTAATTTTGAACGTTCTTGATAAAAGACCAAAATGTGCACCTTTGTCATATTATTTTTATTACATGATTTTGGAAGTTATAAATTAATTCCTAACTAGGAGGCATTGCCACCTTTGCTAGAATTTTTCTGTATACGATTTCTTGAGTTTTAATACTTACATGTTGACTTTTTATGATTTATGAGTTACGAATGTGAATCTTCTACCTTATGATATTTGAGACAATTGTTTTATCATGAATGATGTTATCAAATTATGAAAGATTTTATTTACTCAAAAAGAAAAAAAAAATTATTGTTTACATTTATTGTTTATTAATGTTGGGGTAGAGGGTGTCACAAAAAGTCTTTGGAATATTTTTTTTCACCAACATACTTCGCATCATGTTCATAGTATTCTTTCTTTTTGCCACACCAAAAAGTCTTTGAAAATATTTTTTTCACCAACATACTTCGCACCATGTTCATAATTAATCGTTTGATTCTTTCTTTTTGCCACACCATTTTGTTGCGGTGTGTATGCAGCAATAAGTTGCCTCTGTATTCCATGCAATTCACAAAAACTTGCAAAGTTATGTGAGTTAAATTCACCACCACAATCTATACGAAGAGTTTGAATGTGCTTGCCAAATTCATTTTCAACTCTAAATTTAAAGCTTTTAAAAATAAGAAAAGCTTCAGATTTCTCTTGCAAGAAATAAACCCATGTTTTTCTACTATGATCATCTATGAAGATAATGAAGTACCCTTTTGTTTCCATTTGATGTTGGATTTATTGGCCCGCAAATGTCCGAATGAACCAACTATAAGATTTGTTGAGCTCTCCATGCTTTTCCTTGTGGAAAGAATCACAATGTCATTTACCAACAATCAATCTTCACATATTTCTATGGGGCAATTAATCTTGGCCAGTCCTTCCACCATGTTCTTCTAATGTAGGGTCTCCAAGCCTTTGAAACTTAAATGACCATAACGAAGATGCCACAACCATGTCGGATCCTGCACTCTTGTTGAGAAACACTTCTGGATATCATACTGAATGTGCAGTGGAAACATACGATTTGCTGTCATTTTTGCTTCTGTGATTAGGCCCTTCTCTGGATGATGAATTTGGCATCAACTTTGTTGAAAAATGATGATATAACCCTTCTCTTGTAGTTGGCCCATACTAATGAGATTAATTTTCAAATATGGGATATAAAACACACTAGAAATTGTATGCACAATGTTGTTTTTCATATGGAATTTGATATCCCCTTTCCCCATGACAGAGATGCAAGAGTTGTTTCCAAGCTTCACATTTTCTCTGAATGTTTCATCCATATTATAAAATAGTGATTTATTTCCACACATATGATTGCTGCAATCGGAATCTAAATACCATGTATCACCTGATGAATTTTCCTTCTTGTCGATGTAAGCCATCAAGAGCATTTCCCCTTCAAACTCAACAAGATTTACCTTGGTTTCCTTTTCTTTGTCAGGGCATTCATATTGGTAGTGGCTAAGCTTGTGACAGTGATAGCATTCCGCACCCTTGTCTTGATTGTAAGAAAATTGACTTATATCCTTTGCCTCTACCTTTACCTCAAAAATTGCCACGTCCTCTTCCTGTAGAAATAGTTCCTTCATGAGTAGTGATCTTAAAGGCTTGCTCATCCACAACATAGCAGGTCATTCTTTGCTCATGAACTAACAATGAGCTTTGCAATGCATTAATCGAAAGACTATCAATGTCATTCAATTCTTCAATGGAGCACACCACATAGTCAGATTTACATGTCATTGAGCGAAGGATTTCTTCAACAACTACTACATCTTCCAGCTTTTCACCATGAATACGCATCTTATTATTTGCAACTGACAGTGTTTGTGCAAAGTAATCCTTAACTGAATCTCCTTCCTTCATGTGGAGAATTTCCAACTCTTTGCGAAAAGCTTGAAGTTGTGCTCCTTTCACTCGTGCAATGCCTTGGTACTTTGTCTTCATTGAGTCCCATATGTCTTTAGTAGTATCCTTCTTTAGGATGGTCTCAAGAATAGCACAATCGATCTATTGTTTGAAATAAATAATTATTTATTTTCAAATCCTTCAATTTTTGATCCTCCAACATCTTTCTTTGAGCTTCTGTCATAATTGTTCCATCAGCAGGCTTAGTGATGCAGATTTCCATGAGACTCCAATACTCCTTGAATCGTAGAAAATTTTCCATCAACATACTCCAATAATCATAATGACTATCGAAGCATGGAATCGCAGGTTGCACAAAGCCACTATCTGAAGCCATTGAATATCTTGTTACGACAAGAGTGAAAGCTGCTGCTTTTCAAATCAGGCCCCAGTAGGGGCTCTGGTACCAAGTGCTAGGAAACTAGAATTAAGTTTTCTGGAGAATGAGTAAAAGAAAATGGGATGCCTATTCATTGATATAAGGTGTAATTAAATACAAAATCAAATAACTGAAAACTAGAAAATAATTCATCCCACTACTAACAACTCCTAAAAATTTGAGATTATTCATAGGAATGAGAAAAAGCAACAGACTTCCTAACAAATAGGAACTTATTAATATACAGAAAGCTAATTATCTTAACAATTGCAGCATATACAAAAACACTCGCTACATTCTCTCACCTAACTCTCTCGACCTCATGCTCACTTTCACACACACTATACAACTCTATGTCAAGCACACTCTCTCACTAAACAATAGTCATGAAGGTAGCTTTATTGTATTCGAACCACCATAAAAGCTTCATAGAACAAAACTTCCATGAACCCAATCAAACTCCAAGCCTCAACCGTCACCAAAAATATAATACCTTTATACTAAGTCTCACAACCAACAAGCTCACACGCACAACCCCGACCCTTCGTCACATGCTTAAACATTGCACACTGCATGTCATGCTTCGAAGTCTCTATGCCATGCAAAGTTGCACTTACGAAGGAGCAGTAATGGTAAGGATAAAACTTCAGGCTACTCGTGATGTTATCGCATTAAACGTCACAACTTCATTCTCCCCTCATACACTTCGTGTGTGCTATAAGTTAAGGTTTTTTGTCTTTTTCTTGATGTTATTATGGCTTTTTAGTATGGTATTCGTAACCCCTCGTGTTTTTCTTTAGTATATAATAAATATAAACATAATTATATCTATATGGATGAAAACCGGTCATTATACAATTACAATGTCTCTCTTTCACATAAATTGAATGTAAATAATATTGTACTTGTACTAATAAATGATATATATTCCAAATCACAATGAAACCATTTTACTCATATAAAGAAATTAATTAAAAAAGGGAACTTAAATGTTATATTTTCTTGATCTTTGATATTACTTGGAATATGAGTTGTGATAGATCAAAGAATCACCCATAAACTACTTTATGATTGTCAGAAAGATTTTTTTTCTTCACAATTATAAATACAAAGTTAAACTATTCAAGTTTTTTAGTAATACAATTAAAATCAAGGTGAAAATTTTAAATATGAGGTTGATTAAATGTGACATTTTCTCAATCCTACAATTTTCTAAGATAACAAGTTGTGATAACTATAACGCAATGAGTAGATCTCAGAGTTTAGTTGATTCTAGAGAGAGGAGTATATATAAGGATTTCTCTAAGAAGGGAACTTCATAAGTTCATTCTCAAGGAAACCTAGAGAGAAGTTTTAGAGAGAAGAACTATGGTCCGTGAGCTCCTTTCTCTCTCAAATTTCTCTGTTTGATTCCTCTTCTCATCTAGATTTCTAATCTCTTCTGTCTTCTCTTGAAATTCAAGGTTAGGAAGCTTACTTTTGGATGGTTGAAGTCCGGGAGTCTAGCTTTGGAGGAAAATTTTTCTTCTTCTAAGTTCTTGGCTATTTTAAGCCAATTTTCAGGTGAGGGAAGCTAGAATGTTTGTTGTTGGGTTGCATGTGAGTTTAGAAACTCAATTGATGCATGGATGTTGAGAATCCATAGTTGGATTGGAGAAATTGGTCATTTTTTGGGATTTGGGAAAAATGGGGTTTTTGGTGATTTTGATGCATCGGGTGGGTGCATGTTGAATCTGAGGTTGTTTTTGAGTTGTATGAAGCCTATATGGGCTATGTTTTATGGATTGCATGTGTCTGGATTTCTTGATTTTCAGGTTTTGGACAAAATTTTTGAAGTTTTGGGCTGTTGTATGAATTTACGCCGGGCGCATATTATTGGCGCTAAGCATGTATTCATCAGAAGCTCCGGGCGCAAAAAAAAAAGAAAAAAGCTCCGGGCGTGGAAACCTCTAGGAGTCTCTAGGAGCTGGTTGTTCCAGACGTGAATGTGCTTAATGTTTTGATTGAGAATGATGCTTGTGCATATTTATTGTAGAAAGATTGATCATGTATGTTTGATATATGATGTATGGCGGTGTATGATTTATATGTATGCTTAATGATGGTATGTGTGAATGTTTAAATATGATATGACATGAATATATGTTCATATGAGTATGATTATTGATCATGATGGTGGATTGACCATGTATGATGTATGATGCATTATTGCATGTGATGCCTTATGGCATGAGTCTAGCCTAGGACTTGAGGAGAGGGAAAATGTTTTTGAACTAGAAGATCTCACATAAAGTCTCTTGAGAGTGGTGCTTGGATAGACCACTAATTAATGAGAATGGTGTTTAGATAGGCCACTGGTTTTGAGTGAGAGTGGTGCTCAGGTAGGCCACTGGTTTGGGTAAGTCTCCTCTAAGTCTTTAGCTAGTGTTGGAGCGGAGTATGAGGTTGAGGGTTATTCCATTAACCAAGTACTGGGGAAGGTGCATGGTTCCTTGCGGATAGTCGGTGGGTGAACTCCACAAGTGACTTGGTAATGCATGCCAAGGTCGTGGTACGCCTGTACCCAGCTGTGTTATACCTGACGGTGGAACCGGACTTCTAATTGTGTAAGTGACATCATCTGAGTAAACCCGAGTGAGGATTTATATCTTGTTTAGTTGTGACTGAGCGGGCGCATTGGGCGTGAAAACGGTTGGGGTGGTTTTAGTAGGATTAGGATGTCACTTATACTACTCTGCTGATAGGAGATCTCCTAGGTGTATGCGTGACGACTCATTAAATGATTGATATGTATTGATATCTATCATGAGTTGCATGTTATTGCATGATTGTTATGATGATGAAGTGTATGGTGTTTGACTTCATGTTTGATGAATGGATGATTGATTGAGATGGAAGTTCCTTTGGGACTTGATTTTGATGCATGTGTAGTATAGATTTTATTCTATACTTGTATGATTGCTTTTTGAACTCTAGCTTACCTTTATGTTTCCATGTGGATGGACTGCAATGATCATACTTGGTATGGGAACAGGTCAGGGCTAGCTTGGAGTTGAGATGACATCTGCGTGATAAGGAGTTGTCCTAGTGTCAGAGTTACCCCCTTGGGTAACTGTTGTTTGTGCTTGACCGGCACTAGAAGATTATTATTTTTGGGATGACTGTACATATATGGATTTATATTTTGCACATATAAACTTAGTTATTGTTATTATATTTATATTTATATACATGTATGTATGAGTCATTCAGTTTTAATATTCTTTTAGTTCACTAGTAGTAGTGCGATTTCACTAAGTGTAAGGATCATGGCTGGTCGTTGCAATAACTTGATAGTCTTGAAATCCTTTAAAAATGATGTATTCCATAAGTTATAAATTCTAGTTAAAATTAAAATTTATAATAAAATGAATTCAAGTAATATTTGACAAAAAAAGATTATTTGAATGTGACATTCTCTTATAATTTAAGGATACAAGTTGTGATAACTTGTTATCTTAAAATTATTTTCTAAATTAATTAAAATATATATTTCATATCATTAAAAATACCACTATAAAATTTTTGCTAAATATTTAAAAGTATTGTAATAAAATTTATTACAAAATTATTAATTTTTTTTGCCACAAAAATTATAATAATCATAATTATAATCAACAAAGACCAACACATATCATAGATATGACACGACAAAAACCTAGAAAGATCACTCCCCACAGAGTATCCAAAGGACTCGATTGGCTCTGATACCATAAAAGTGTAACGACCTGCCATGGTCCGTACACTTAGTGGAATCGTACTAATCTATTGATGAACTAAATAAAATATTAGACTAGATGACAGAATATACATATATGTAAGAAGAAATAAGAAAATAAATATTTACATAGAAGATATCATACTATGAATATACAGTCATCCAAAATAATATTATCCTAGTGCCGGTCAAGTACCAACAAAACAAGTACCCAAGAGGGTAACTCTGCACCAGGAACAAAATTCCACTCTCCGCAGCAGTCACTGCAGCCAGCTCCAACCTATCCTTAATCTGATCCCATACACGGTATGATCATCGCAGTCCATCCACATGGAAACAGAAGGGTAAGCTAGAGTTCAATAAACAACCATACAAGTATAGGGTGATGTTATACTACTCATTCATCCAATCATCATCACAACACAACAACACAGTTTAGCATAAAAGCTCAACTTATTTATACAACTTAGAAGCAACTTGAATACAACAACAACAACATACAACTTTCAACTAATGTGTCGTCACGCATATACAACTAGGAGATCTCCAACAACTGAGGTTCAGCACTGTAGGTGGCATAAACCCTACCAAATCCAACGTTTGACCTATCTTAACCAGGTCAGGTATAGGGCATCGTTAGAAACTCCAAAGAAAACTAGGTATAGACAACAATAGGCGATTGCTCAAGTGTGCCACTTAGACTCGGAGGTCCAGTACTACTGTCAGGGTAGAAAGGTTTGGGTATGAACCTACCATGGTCTTGGTCTGCATAACTAATCCACATATGGGGTTAGTCCACCCATTGCTCTCCAAGTATCATGCACCCTCCAATACCTAGTCAAAGACTACATCTCTAACTAGATACCTTACTCAAATTGGTCATTCAACCATGACATGGATCGA